CGTCTAGACAAGCACAGGTGGGCGGTGAGATTCCGTCGGCACCACCTGGCGGCCCCCCACTGCCGCCTCTGCCCCCTTGGGGCTCTCCCCGCCCCCCCTTCTGGGCCTCTCGACGGCGCCCGCCAGTCTGCACGGCGCTGCCCTGTCAGCGCCCCCGCCACGGCCCCCCGTGCGCCCACCTGCGGGAAGCAGACGACAGTGCCCTGCAGGACCGGCCTCAGCTCCGACTCCACCACACACCGCGGGCGCATGAGGGGCTGAGCCGCGCCTGTGGGCACTGCCCGGGCAGCAGGGCGCCGCGGGGGACCGGCCCCCGCTCGCCCGTAACAGACACACCGGGGCAGGGGCCCTCTCCGCCCCAGGGGACGTGCACAAACAGGACCCCGTCTCACGCGGGTTCCTGGGGAGGCCGAACAGGGCCTGGGCGTTCCAGGCACATCCATGGAAGTGTGAGTCCAGCAAAGCAGAAACGAGAAACTCCATAAAGCCCCAGGAGCTGGACCCAGGAGACAGGAAGGCCTGGGCCAGGAAGGAACCGTCCCAGCAAGCCCGGGAGGGCGGAGGGCGGGGCAGCTCCCAGGGCCTGGCCTGGCGAGAGCCTGGCAGCGGTGTTCTGAGCACTGGCGTGTGCAGCCAGAAGCCCGACCCTTCACAAACAGCCTGCCAGGGGCTGCTGAGTCCCGGATGCTAGAAGGTTCTGCCACCCGCCTCCCTGGCCAAGACACAGGGCTGGCCACGCTGGGGCTCTGACGGCCCCGGGGGCTCACACGTCCTGGGCGGCGGAGCCTGCCGGCGGTGCGTTTCAGCCCCGGCCTGGACCCCTCGGACGGGCTTCGGGTGAGGCGGGCAGTGGCCTTCGGCCCAGCGTCCCGAGGGCCGCCTCGCCTAAAGGCCCCCCCGGGGGGGACCAAGGCGCTTCCCGGAGACCAAGGGTTAACTCGGGAATCCGAGAGACTCTGTCAGCTCCATCAGGGAGAGACAGAGCCACGCCGCCGAGACACGAGAGGGACGAAAATTAATGACGACTCCAAAATAGCCACGAGACTAATCGCATTTTCTAAATCTGTCCTTCCCAAGAAAAATGGAGAAAAGAGATGTGGACAAATGGAAAGTAACGAAGCAGGGGGCCGGGGGGGGGCAGAGAAAAGAAGTCGGAGCCAGAGAACGTGGGCGCGGGCCCGTCCCCGGAGAGGACGCGGCCACAGCGTCCGTGGCCTGTGCCGTGAGAGCGGGGTGGCATGGGCAGCGCGCTGGGCGGTATTCTCGGCGATAAATGGGCCAGAGGCTAATGCTAGGAAATCGTTTGTAAGAAAGAGACCCAGGTTATCACGCAACTGTTGTAGGATTTGACCTGAATAGGAGCCGCTAAACAGAGTTTTCTCCACACAGCTGCTGGGGGACAACGGTGCTGCCCGCCCCGGGCAGACGGCAGCTCTCTAATGAAACTCTGACGGCCCCCCGGCCCCAGAAGGAAGTCCTGCTGGGGAAACCAGAGGGACAAGCATGCCCGGGACGCCCAGTGCAGGTGGGCGCAGGGCCACGGGGCCAGTGAGCCCCGACCTCGGGGCGGCCCTGGGGGCCTGGCTATGGCTCTGAGCCTCAGCGCTTCACGCCCAGCTCTGAAGCAGAAACAGGCCTGGCTGGGAGCGGGGAGGCGGGGGCTGCCCGGGCGAGGGCCCCAGGCACGGCCCGGGCCCGAAGGAAGCGCGTGGCCACGGCGGCGTCCCCCGAGCCTGACCCCAGCATTTCGAGTGCAATTTTCTGAGCATCTTGGTCGATTTTGTTTTTATTGCTCCAGTGAACAACAAAGTCCCTTCTGACCTGAGGGCTCCCGTGGAAACACTCCCGGAGAGATCAGAGGGCTCCGGAGCGAGCCCCCTCGGCTCTCACAGTTGAGACCCTGTCTGGGCCTGGCCGGGCAGCCCAGTCGGCCCCACGCCCCGCGGCAGCGCTCGGGGAGGCAGAGACCCACCCCGCTGTGATGGGTCATGTCTGAACCCCCAGAAGGAAGAGCTGGGCCGGCTGTGGAGGTGCACGGAGACCCCGCACACAGCCCGCGGAGTCAGGCGCTCACAGCGTGAGCGCGGGATGCGGCCCGGGCCTCTCTGGCGCTCCCGAGGGGCCCTTCGGGGCAGACCGGGCCGAGCCAGGAGAGGGGTGCCGTCCAGGCCCGTCGCCAGTGTGCGAGGGGGCAGGAGGCCCAGCGAGAGGAAAGGTGTCGAGGACAGAAAGCAGCTTTGCCTGAGCGAAGTCGCGGTCAGAATCGCCACACGCCACCCAGCGCTGCCCCGGGCTACTGTGGCCACCGTCCGTGACAGCGACCGTCGCTCTGTCCGCACCTCCGTGCCTGAGCGCCGAGCGCTGGGCAGGGGCCCCCCTGTGACGCCCCTCCGCGCCGCACCCCAAGAGGATGCTAGCACCTGGCCCGCTGCACAGATTAGCAGACAGCTATTCCAGGGTCAGCGCGGACCACTGGACTCTTCCTACGGTCAGGGTGGGAAATAAAGAGCAAGAACATTCAGTCCCTTGATCTAGATGAATCAAAGCGTCACAGGAACTGGGCTAAGACGTGGCCATGCCCGGAGACGGTCAGTCGCTCACAGCCCGGGAGCGGGGCCGCGGACCGGATCCAGCCCCCTTCGTGGCCGGAGCTTGACCTGCCGGAGGCCGAGGCCGCCCAGCCGTGGGGCAGCAGAGCCCATCAGAACCATCTGGGTAACTTGACATCGGCCCACGGGACAGTGATGTCACTTCCTGCTTTTTATTCTGTACAGAGAAGACTTCTCAGCCACCGCTCTAAAAAAAAGAAAGAAAGAGCCGCCCAGCCAGACTCGACGATTAGTGCCGGAGTAAGTGATCATCTTGTGATTGCTCAGCTGGGGCCTGAGGACTTGTAAATGCATTTGGAGGACAGAAATAGAAGCTGTGAGAGAGCAGAGGAGGCTGGCCCACTTGCCAAGGCTGCCGGGAAAGTCACTCTGTCGCTGGCGGGGCGCGCTAAGTCACCCTGCGCCCGCCGGTGAGGCCAGGGCACCAGCCTGACCTCGCGGCCTTGTCGCTGCGGGCCCACCCCAGGCGCCTTCCTGCGCCTGGAGCCCCTCAGCCAGGCCCCGAACCGCTCGCCCCTGACCCAGCAGACTGCAGCGGGGTGGGCTGACAGACGGGCCAGCAAGAGCCGGACGCAGCCGGGCGTCGGGCCGAGCTCGAGGGCAGCCTCACTGGCCGAGAGACCTGGGCTTCTTGCAAAGATGCCCCAGCCTGTCCCTGCCACCGCCCAGACCCTCCCCCAAGAGATGGAGGGCAGAGGCCCTGCTGAAGCGCCAGGCAAAGACGTGCCCCTGGGGACCCTGGCTAGAGACCCCGGAGGAACCCCAGAGGCGCCTCTGCCAGCTCCCCCCTGAGGCCCGTGGAAACGTGATGGGTCCCAAAGACCCCCGTGTCCCCAGAGCCTTGGGGACACGGCCCCGCAGCTCCAGGCCCCCAGACACGTCCTCCCGAGGACAGGTTTCCCGCTGCCGCCGCCCCAGGTGTGACAGAGCCGCGGGCTCCCTCCGCCCTGGGGCAGGTCGGCTGGTGGGGTGTGGGGCCTCACTTTCAGTGAGGCATTCAGAACCTGGGTTGTTTCAAGCTGGTCTTGAAAAAGCAGCTAGCGGGAAAAGAAAAAATAGGCCTCCCCCGTGGCACAAGGGATGAAAGCGTAGAGCCGGCACTGCAGGCTGCCGCCCCGCTCAGGGCCAGCCCGATCCCCGCCCCAGACCCCCACGTGGCGCGGCAGACCGCTCCCCTCAGCAGTGGGCTTCGACCATCTGCCTGCTCTGCTCCCCACTCTGACTCTGGGGAAGCCTCTCACGCCCCTGCATCTCCGGCCTGCACCCCAGGTCTGTGTGCACAAATAAATACAACTTTCAAAAAAGAAAGAAAAAGCAGCGAGTGGCCAGAGGAGACCCAGCCCCCATGGTCACCTGGAAGTGTTTACTGCTGCCCCTCTGCGCAGGGCCCCACCCCCCGAACCCCCCCCCCGCCCCACCCCACTGCCACCCCAGGCACTTAGCTTCCAGACCCGGTAGCAGGAAAAGGGAAACTTTTCAGAGGTCAAAAGCTTCTCCCCCAGGGCATCTGACACGCAAACGCAAACTACCAATAAAATAAACACCTGGAACATGTGGCGGGAGCCCCCTGCCTGCCTTCACCTCCAGCTGCGAAGGGCAGATCAGAGGAACCCCACCCACCAGCACGACCAGGGCAGGGCCGGCCCAGCCAGGCCGTTGGACAGTGGCCTCGCCCCCGTGGCCATGGCCGGGACAGGGACCTGGGCACGGCCACCCGGGAGCTGCCCCGGAAGGAGGAAAGTTCAGCACCACGCAGGGCCCAAACTCTGGGAAAGTGTCTGCGGGGCACCCCTGGGTGCCTGGGGGGGCCGGGAGAGGCACAGCCCCCCGCAGGGTTCCCCAGGTCCCCTCTCCTCCCTACCACCTCCCCAGAGCTTTCCGGAGCCTGCTGGCTGCTCCACATCATGGGGGTGCCCCTTGTGGTGACAGGGTACCCCTCAAGGGACCAAAAGAAAGACTCATCAGCACTCGGGCCAGGCGCAGAGAGGGCTCTGCCCCCCCAGGGCAGCTCGGGGAGTGTCTGCCCATACGCCGGCGACCCCGAGTGCCAGGGCCCGCTCTCCCGAGTCTGCGGCCCCCAGGGGAGCCTCTGCCACGGGCCCCCACACACGCAGCTCCCCGTGGGGGCTGCCACGCACAATCCCAGAAAACTGCAGATTTCACCATCAAAAGGGGGGCGAGGGCCTGGCGTCCGGAGAGCCCCCTTGAGCCCGGCTCCCAGGCTTTTGCCTCTGACGGGCCCCTTGGTGCCATCAAACCCCAAATCCTCATTTTAAGAAGCCAAGCATGCAACTAGGGACAGTTTAAGGACCGGCCCCGGGCGCAGCGCCCCAGAGCAGTCTGGCCGCCAGGACTCCCCGGCCCCGCCCGGCAGGCCCCCGCCCCACTCACATGTAGCGCAGGTGAGGGTTCTTGGCGAAGGCTCTGGGCTGGATGCTCCGAAGTCCTGAGTTCTTGATGGTCCTGCGGAGAGAGGACAGGACGGTCTGCGGGGCGGACGGGCGGGGCCCAGCGCCCGCTGGACTGAAAGCCCCCTCCTCACCGCAGGCCCCGCGGGGTGGGGGGCAGTGGGCACGCTGCAGGCTGACCCTGCCCGGGTGAGCCAGGCGTCCTGGCCAGGACCTGCTCGGCAACCCCCGGCCCTCCCCCCCCAAGTCCCCACAGCCTAGCCATCAGGGAGGAGGGGTGGCTGGGGCTTCCTGGGCAAGCAGAGGGCTGGGCCGGCAGAGCAGGACACTGGCCAGGGAGGCCCAGGTCTGCCCTGACACCCTACTAGCGGGAGCCCGCCAGCCCCTCGCCTCTCCGCCAGGGTGGAGCGCGGGGGAGGCAGGGACGGCCGGCCGCGGAGGGCCGGCCGACGCTTCTGTGCCTGCGGGGGCAGCCGGCGCCAGCTCCCGCCCCGCCGCCCGCACTCACAGCTTCTGGAGGCCGGTGTAGAGCTCCATGTCCACGGCGTTGAGCGTGTGCAGGCCGCGCCAGTTCTCGATGTGTCTGCGGGGAGGGCAGGT